TTTTTTTTTTTTTTAATTGTACCAGTCACAGGCTTCGTTAATTGTTGCGGAGAGATTTTAAGAGTTTTTGAAACAGAGAAGAGACATATCTTACGCCTTTGTTTTGTGAAAACATTCTTGAGAGCATTATGGAAACGTATATGTATAAGAAAAAAAAAACAAGGATCGATTTTATTGCTCTCCTATGTCCCTCCTTGAACGAGCATGATTGCGTGAGTATGCGAATAAAAAACTTGAAAGTCGAAAGAATCGCGTGAACTTTGGAGAAAATTTACATAATTATATGTATTTATTTATTTATTAACCCTTCGCCTGCGGACCTCAAAAATGACTTGCGAGAGTAAGACAAACTGGGTTTGTGAGACCCACTTCAAAAAATAGAATATCTCCACGAAAAATCAATATTTTTTCAATTTTGTTTTTTTTTAATCAAAAATTTGAACGATTCTGCGTCGATAGAAAAAACAAATTGAAAAAATCTCTAGTAGTTTCGAAGATAAAAGCGTTTGAAAAAAAAAAGAAACTAATTTCTTCTAGAACGCCGATGCGCAATGTTTGAGCGGGTCTGGGGAACCCATGTCTGCGGGATCGAAGAGTTAAATATGTATATAATATACATAATAATTTTTAATATATTTTTTCTGCCGAAGTTCCGCAATTTCGTAAGTTATTATTTTTTTTTTTTTTTGCAAAGATCTCTTTCCCGGCTGATCGCAAACCTTAATCCGGCGCTGGCGCCTGCGTTTTCGAACCAGGGTAGGTTGGGGTCCGGCTGGGATCCGGTTTGGAGTGCATGACTCTCGACCTTGGAGGGCTCGCCTACGCTTCCGGGGCTGCGTTTCAGCCACACCGCGGTGATCACCGTGCCGGTGGACGCGTTGAGTGCGATCACCCTCGCCTCCACCGCGTCGTCCACCGAAACGAGCAGCGATTTTGTCAGTGCGTCTAAAAGAACTGCGAGTAAACCCTCGTTACGCTTCTTTGTTGTCTTTTCGGCTGCTTTTTTTTCTTGTTTTTACTCGCTCTCGTCGTTCGACGATTATTTTCGGTTGCACGTAACGCGTGCAACAGGTGCCGTATAAAGAATTTACGAATCTCCCGTGTTACGTGCCGGCGCTCGCGGGATTTAATTGTCGAGATATATCGTTTCCGTTATTTTTAATTGCGGCTTAAGAAGCAATTAAATCGAGCACACATTACATCTCGAGTATATAAATTAGTTTTGTTTTTTCTCCAAAACAAAACACAACTACGATTGTTGTTTCCTCGTATAGTGAGCGGTCTTGTTGCGATTCCGCCGTGATAAAAAAAAAAAAAAATAAAAACTCACCGTTACGTCGCATCGCCTCGGCGGCCCCGAGATTTTGAAGCACCATGGCAGTCATATCGACCTTTTGACGCGCGGTGTCGTAACGCCGCGAATCCAGCGCTACACCAGCCGGCAGGGATTTAAATCCCGCCGTGTTGACGCAAACCTCGCCCAGGGCGCCCGTCGACGCCGCCTGTATCACGTCCAGCGCTTCCTCGATGGCGGCCTTAGGAAAATACATACAAACGGAAAGATATATATTGAGGGCGGAAGAAAACAAAAAATATAAAAAAAAAAGCGAAGAAAACGGGAGCGGCGCGCGAAGAAACTCGCGCGAGAGAAGAAAAATGAATCGAAGAAACACACACACAAACCCGTTTGGAATCGACGATGTCCTCACGAGTGGTCGTCGACAGAAACGACGTCGGGAATGAATCGGCTTTCGTCACCGCCGTCATCGTGATCGTTGTCAGCGTGGCAGCGAGCAAGACCGAGAGCCAGGACTCGCCCATCCCGCGCCCTGGTCATTTGTTCTTGTAACAAAGCGAAAGAGCTTCGAGATGTCAGGAAAAACTAAACGTTTTTTACCCCCGAAATAATTGCGCGAGATATATAAAATAAGATACCGAAGAGAGTTTGTTGCGATATTTACTTTGTTCGACATGTCGAACGTCGTATCGATTCTTCCCCACACGGAGACAAAAAAAAAAAAAAAAAAAACTAAAGTTCCGAGATATCTGATATTTGTCAAAAAAAAAAAACCTGACGTTTACCTCGAAATATTTATAAAGACAAAGTAAGGTTTGCGATACGCTTTCGACGTTAAATATTGACATTTCCCCTACGGATATATATACATATATAAAAAAAAAAAAAAGTTTCCTTCTACTGAAAGTAATAAAACATTGACGCGAGCGTATCATTTTATTCCATGAAAAATAGAGTCGACGAGAAGAAACGGCCACGAGATTTTGTTGCTATTGCGAGATTCTGATAAAACTTTGACAAATAATAATAAATTTTAACGGCAAATATATATAATTGACGCGAAAATCGTTTTTTTTTCTTTTCTTTTTTTTTTTTTTTTGAACGATCGCACGTACAATGCAAAGAAACGTAGCTTATTTTTTTTTTTTTGTCTGGAATAACTCTGTGCTATAGAGAATATCTTACTTCACACACACTGTGATTGTCTCACCTCCGGCGGTGACATTCAAGTAGCGGCGAGTTTGCGGCCCCCGCTCGTAACGGGCCGCTCGTACGCCCTCGCCGGTGATCTTCCGGGCATGTTTCCACCACCTGTAACCAACGTTCAGCCCCCTCGATTTCCCATCGGAGAAGCGTCGTCGTAGAGAGAATCCGCGTCTGCGTCGGGCACAGAACGCAAAACAATAAAAAACGATACGATATTTCATATCGTTCGTTTAACGTGCGCGCGATACTACCGTGCGTAAACAATCGAGCGCGATTATGATATCGATAAGTAGAAAAAATCCGATGAGAGAGAGAGATGGGTGTTCTCTTCGCGGGTTCTTTTCTTTCTTCGCTTATTTTAAAAACCGAACGAACTCCGCTTTCGAGACCCCAGAGTCTCGGGAATATTACTGGCACGACCGCTATCGTCGTCCCGGTTGCTCGATTTCGTCTCGTTTCCCCGGCGTGTTGCAAAATAGAATAGGCGGGAGATGTTGTACGTAGGCGAGTCCATTTTCCAGCGACTTACCTGGCCTTTGACAAGCGACACGTGAGGTGTTCGCTCAACCTTGAACAAACCCCGACAATCCCCCTCGCTCGCATCATCGTACTCGTCCATTTGCGTTGCGCGACGCTCGTGTGTGTGTGTGTGTGTGTGTGT